TGTCTTTCCATCTTCCTTATATTTTAGCATATCAAGAGAGATACAGCCTTGATTTGCCCTAAGTATATCTAATACAAAGACAAATACAAAGACAGTGATTATGTATGAGTGAGGTGGAAGTGTTGAATGATGATGAAAGTATTTTCTTTCTTTTTGGGTCACCCTGCCTCAGTGGGAGATGGCCGACTTGTTGAGGAAAAAAAAAAAATCTAATACAGTGGCGGTTCATGTACAGTGGACCCTCGGGCAACGGCGGCATCGGCTAACGCTAAAATCGGATAGTGGCGCGTTTTTGCGTCAAAATATTGGCTCCGTTAACATACAAGAATTCGGTTAGGGGCATTCGCCCCAAACGTGTCCGCCTGTCCATCTGGCCTAAGCATCGGAGTTGCCCTGCCTTCAGCTAGTGTGCCATTGTTTACAAGCCAGTCCAGCCGATTCCACGCGTACACGCGATACATTTTGTATTATTCCAGTGTTTTTAGTGCTTGTAACTACTAAATAAGCCACCATGCACCCAAAGAAAGCTTCAGAGGAGGAGGAAGAGAGATCGAGGAAGTTGCCTTCATCAAAGATTAAGGACATTTGTGTAAAGTGGGTTGCAGTGCAAACCTTTATGGATGAAAATTATCCTGACACAGCTGTTGCAAGCCATATTGGCAACATGTACAGTGATACTCTTGCATTCCATTTTAAGGAAATCTTAAAGATGCCAGAAACAGAGCTCTCTGGACAGATATTTTGTGCGACAGGGGTCCAGTGACTCCCAAGCTGGTCCTAGTGGCATTAAAAAACAAAGAAGGGAGGTAACCCCAGAAGAGGGCTTGTTACCTGAAGTCTTTATGGAAGGTGATTTCCCTTCCAAATAATAGTACACCTCCATCAAATCCCCTCCTCCTGTCTCATCACTCATCAGTAAGTCCACAATAAAGGTAAGTGTCATTTCAGTATTGTTTATTGTGCATGTCTCATTGTTTTCTGTGTAGGGAAATGTATATTTCACGTAAAAAAAAAATTATTTTGTTTAATACTTTTGGGTGTCTGGAACGGATTAATTGTATTTCCATTATTTCTTATGGGGAAAATTAATTCAGCTAACGTCCAAGTTGGTTAAAGGCTCTCTGGAACAAATTAATGCCGTTACCCGAGCATCCACTGTATAAGCACTGTGGAACTCCAGCACCCCTTATTTTCACTTAATATTGTTGATAACATTCAATATAATGATCTTTTTTTCTTTAATTCTTTCTTTATACATGTACTTGTACATTATATAATCCTTAAGCTTAATGTCAGTAGCATCCCCTAGTACATGAAAAAATTATAAAAATCCTTGTATGGAACTGTGTGCTTCACAGTTCCAGCGACTCGGTGTTTGGCTGTTGTGCGTGTGCACATGTGTCCGAGATAAGGCGCTGCACACTAGGTAGAGAGAGCACAGTCACTGATGCAGTACTGACCCTGTGATGAAAGTGTAAGGTAGTGGTAGTGTTTCTTTTTGACTTGGCAATGTGTGTTGTGCTTAAAAACCATATACCATATCCTTGAATGTGATAAAGTGTAGAATTAGATTATTATCATGCTTCTAGCTATTTTATTTAATTCAGAGGTTTTTTTGGTTCTTTTGTTTTACAGAAAATTTAAATACATAATTTAATCATGTCCTCTTTGCATCCCCAAGAAATAAGTTCTGTGACTGTAAGTGAACCTCAACAGCTTAAGTTTTCACAGTTGTCTCTCCATGAGAAAGTTACAGTTAAGAAAAGAGGCCATTCAACACCTGATATTCAAGTATCTTAGCCAGGAATAAGCAACAACAAGAAGTAAATTTATAGCTTTAATTCTGAATGGTGCCACCGGAAAAGTTGGCATTGCGACTGTGAAGTAAAAAATGCATTGTTTTGCTTCCCATGTTTGTTGTTTGGAGGTGATGTAATGTAGACAAAAGAAGGTTTCAGAAATACAAACAAAATGAAAGAAAAAAACTGAAAAACATGAAAAGTCAAAGAAGCATGTTGAAAATGTGGTTTCAATGTCACTTTTAGGAAATGCAAATATTAAGAAGAAACTTAGTGAGGCAAACAGACTTTCAATCAATGAACATAACATAAAGGTTAAAAAGAACCATGAAATTTTATCCAAAATCATAGACTATTTTCTTTTATGGAAACTCTGAAACTCCCTTACGTGGACATGATGAAAAATATGATTCAGTAAATCCAGGGGTATTTAGAGGATTAATAAATTTTGCATCTAAATTAGATACAGATTTGAAGAATCACTTAGAAACAAGTACGGTCTTCAAAGGTGTTTCTATGATCATTCCAATTGAGAAGCTTGACTGCCTGCTACAAATATACCATGAGGAAATAAGGACAGAAATTAGAGAAGCTTCCTTTGTAGCTGTCATGGCTGATGACAAAACAGATGTTTCGGAATACACTCAAATGGTCACTGTCCTATGGTATGTGTTGAATGGAGAAATATTTGAGCATTTTTGTGATTCTTCATTTCAGAAAATCAAACTGCAGATGGTACATCAAAATGTGTTCTAGAGCAATCAGACATAATCCTTCAAGGAAATGGACAAAAACTGATAGCTCAGACATTTTATGGTGCAAATGTCATGAAAGGCAAAAAAAAAAACAGGAGTTCAAGCAAAAATAAAAGCAATTTATAGTAATGCACATTTCATTCACTGTTATGCACATGAACTTAATTTAATAATGAGAAATGCAGCAAGTATTACACGGAATGCAAGAATATTTTTCTCTAACATTTTGGCTATTCCAATATTCTCAAGATCACCGCACTGTGTATCCATTCTCGAGAAGCACATGGATGTCAGCATTTCACGTCCATTCTCTACAAGGTGGAACTTTAACATTTTTTTTTTTAACAAGTCGGCCGTCTCCCACCGAGGCAGGGTGACCCAAAAAGAAAGAAAATCCCCAAAAAAGAAAATACTTTCATCATCATTTAACACTTTCACCTCACTCACACATAATCACTGTTTTTGCAGAGGTACTCAGAATACAACAGTTTAGAAGTATATACGTATAAAAATACACAATATATCCCTTCAAACTGCCAATATCCCAAACCCCTCCTTTAGAGTGCAGGCATTGTACTTCCCATTTCCAGGACTCAAGTCCGGCTATATAAAAATAACCGGTTTCCCTGAGTCCCTTCACTAAATATTACCCTGCTCACACTCAAACATATGGACCATAAACAGAGTTTATGAAAATTTGCAAGCTTTAAAAAGCTTCCTTACTGAAATTCAGTCAATATCAAATGCAAATCAAACCATTGCAGAAGCAACAGGAATTTTAAAATACCTGAATGATGATAATTTCATGTTTTGGTTATAGCTTTTCATCAGATTATGCCTCACATATAAGTAATTTACAACCGAATGGAATCTCGAGAAATTAGTGTGTTTAAAGTCAGTGAATATATAACAGATCTCAAAACTGCTATTTTACAAATAAGAAACTCAAAGTACTGTGAGAATTCTTCAAAGACACTCATGGCAGAAGCTAAGGAAGTGTGTGACTGTATGCGTGTTGATATAATGGACAGATATTCTTCCACTAAACACTTAGTAGCTGCTAAATTGTTCAACAAGAAAAGCTGCACTAGTTTTAAGATTGAACTGCCTACAGAAGAGATAGTACTGACCACTGAAGCATATCCCATGATTGACAAAGAAAAACTTGAAACAGAACTTGTAGATCCGATATGCATGAATATTGCAAAAAATTGAGCTGCTGAAATTTATCTTGGAAAATAATCTAGATGTTCTTAGTGAAATTACAAAACTGATAAAAATCCTCTTGACAATTCCCATGACAACATCAGACCCAGAACGCTGCTTTTCAACAATGAAAAGAATAAAAACTTTTCTAAGGAGCACTATGAATCCTGAAAGACTAAATGCACTTGCAGTGCTTTCAATGGAAAAAAATTTCAACAGTCATCAAGAGATCAAGGAGAAAATTATTAATCTTTTTGCGCAAAGTAGAACAAGAATGGATTTCGTTTTTAAATAAATGGATAAAGCTTGAACTGTAACAATTTAGGTAAGTAAAAAATATTTTTTTGTTTATGATTTTATCAAGCTAATGCATAAATTTTCTTTTTATATGGTTGTTTCGTTTTGCACTATTAAAACAATGGATAAAAATTTTCTGAAGCAGCGCCTCCACTAATTTTAGCTATGAGCCACCACTGATCTAATATGAAGATTAACATTAAAAAAAATGTGGGCATTAAGACACGAACTGCAAGATTTTATTTTAGACATTTCATTCATACTTGATAAAGCTCAACCATGAGGGAAAAAATCTAAAAGGCTTTCTCTACTGTTTGTGTCTTTTACCCTCTGTTCAGTATGTTACCCCAGTCACCATTCAGTAACACTGCCTACCTACCTATGATAAAAAAAACAAAAACAAATATTTACTTTTTCCATATCACCCACTTCTTACCAAGGTAGTGATATCCCAAAGAAAGGAATACATTCACCATCATTTATTCAGTAGCTGTCTTGCCTGAAGTTTGCATCACAATACAAATGAGTCTGTAAACCACAACATCCCCAACCTTACTTCCTATTTCCAGAACTCAAATCTAGCTAACCAGCTTTCCCTATAACAGCACAAGTATTAAAGAACTAAATTAAGGTCTCAAATCAATACAGAACAGAGAAACAAATATATAAATCCAATAATGTGGTACCAGGTATGATCTAGGTATGATCTTCTTTCACTTGTGTATCTACTGAAGGGGATCCCAGCATGGGATTGAAATACTATAAAGATCAATTAATTTTCTGAGTTTCTCTCTCCATGTGTATTATTATTAAGCATTGACAAGTGTTTATTACACTTGTTATTCATATGTATACAAGTAATGTAATACAATCAGCTGAATGGAATATAAAACACGTGCTCAGAAAGCCTGTGAAAGTATATACAAGAGATAATGTTGCTCACCACTAGGATATGTATTAATTCTGCCCTCGCCTCGCTTCTCTGCATACAAGCTGCACTTCCTCTTCTTTGGTCGATTTTTTTGTCCATGTTCATTGATCATCTGCCAGAGAATAACCAGTATGGTTCAACAAATTATATCAACAGAAGAACTGATTTACTGACACACATGAATACCATATACATAAATAATATAGTACAAATATTTAAAAAAATAAAATGAACTGGGTTTCTGATTAAACTGGGTAATAACCATCGAGGTGATGTGGATTTTCATTGGTGACTGCTTCCTTTTCTTGCCAGGTTTAGCTGGCCCAGATGCTTTTAGGTCAGACCTACAGGCAACATCAGATTTCCCTTCGTTCTCCACTCCTGAGTATTCTCCAGGATGCCACCCACTTGGGCCAGGCAAGCTTTCTGGTAAAACCTCCCACCGCAACCTTGTCACATTACCCGCTACCAATCCACTGATGTTCTGATCTTCATTAGAACCTGCTGCAGTTTCTTCAGAATAATTTTTGTCCATCTGCAAAAGTTAAGGTATTAATAAGAGGCTGAACAAGCAGTATTTTTATTCTTTATTAACCCTTTGACTGTTTTGGGCGTATATGTACGTCTTACGAGCCAGTGTTTCGGACATATTAATACGCATAAATTCTAGCGGCTTCAAATCAAACAGGAGAAAGCTGGTAGGCCCACATGTGAGAGAATGGGTCTGTGTGGTCAGTGTGCACCACATAAAAAAAATCCTGCAGCACACAGTACGTAATGAGGAAAAAAACCTGACCATTTTTTTTTTGGATTAAAACTCTGACTTTGAGGTGTATTTCTGTATAGTATTTATCGTTGTATTCTCGTTTTCATGGTCTCACGTAATAAAATGGAAAACATATTACAGAAATAGAGGTGAGTTTGATTAGTTTCACGATGAAAACGACCTTGAAACTGAGCTCAAAGTGGTGGAAATGTTTGATTTTTACTAATGTTCAGGAGTAAGCAAATCACACCACATGTCCAATACACGTCAACTAATATTCTTTCACTAGTGCACTGATATTTATACCATTTTTACAATAATGCAGTAGTCTGCATAACAGTAAATTTTGTATTTTTTGTAAGAAAAAAAATCAAAATAGAAAACAATAATAATATAAGAGGGGCCTAGAGATGTGACTAATGAACAGAGGATATGTTATTTTAGTGCCAAAAATGTCTACATTGTTTATTCTGGACCCTATTTTGAAATTGGCATCTTCTTTAATTTGCATGAAACTGGCCAAATTGCCAATTTCTGACCACTTTACTGGGTAGTTGAATCGATAAATGGGTGGTTTCTTGTACTCAATTGATAGAAAAAATGGAGTTCTAAAGAAATAGCTATGAGTTTGGTCAACTGGAACAAAGAAATTGGCCAAAAACGGCTCAAAGTCGGCAAAATCGCCGATGTGTATATGTAGCCGAGACCGCTAACTTCACGGGAGCATAATTCTGTGAGTTTTCGACCAAATTTCATACTTTTGGTGTCATTACCATCGGGAAAAGATTCTCTATCATTTCATGAAAAAAAAATTTTTTTTTTTCCAAAAAATTTGCGACAGTTTCAGAAAGGGGCTTGCGACAGTCAAAGGGTTAATTAATATGCACTAAAGCTTAGTAACACTCTTACAACATTAGTAAAATGACTATTTGGTCTACTGTATTCAGCTTATGACAAAGGACTGGTAATTTTTATACTTATTTACATTGACACACACACACACACACACACACACATGCATGCATGCAGGGCCAGGAGCTAGGATTCAACCCCATGAAGGTAAGTACACCGAGTAGGACTCCAAATGTCCCAAACCCAGGTTTACAAAAACCTCACAAAATTTTATGAAGTTGTTCCAGATCCAAACAAGATTACAGGATCCAATAAAGTTTATAAAGTACTATTACAACGGTAGATGGGCTTTGCTACTGAACTCTGGTGAGGTTGTAAGTGTCCCAATCTGTTGGGCCTTAGGCAAGGGGCTCCACTTGACCTGAGAACTTTTTTTTTTTCTTTTTTTGCAAAGGGAACTCCTGCTTCCTTTTTCTTTCACTAACTAGCCTTTGACAATATGTCCTCCCTGCATGTATATAGGGAAGCAGGCCTCATCATGCCATAAACTCTCAGTGGCTCTTCATGCCCCCAATAAGAACAAGAGAGCAGATGGATATCAGCGCTGGCAGACTTTTTTTTTTTCTTTTAACAAGTCGGCCGTCTCCCACTGAGGCAAGGTGACCCAAAAAGAAAATACTTTCATCATCATTCATCACTTTCACCTCGCTCACACATAATCATTGTTTTTGCAGAGGTGCTCAGAGTACAACAGTTTAGAAGCATAAATATATAAAGATACACAAATATCCTTCCAAACTGCCAATATCCCAAACCCCTCTTTTCAAGTGCAGGCGCTGTACTTCCCATTTCCAGGACTCAAGTCCGGCTAAATAAAAATAACCGGTTTCCCTGAATCCCTTCACTAAATATTACCCTGCTCACATTCCAACAGCTTGTCAGGTCCCAAATACCATTTGTCTCCATTCACTCCTATCTAACATGCTCACGCACGCTTGCTGAAGTCCAAGCCCCTCACCCACAAAACCTCCTTCACTCCCTCCCTCCAACCTTTTTGAGGATGATTCCTACCCCGCCTTCCTTCCCCTATAGATTTATACGCTCTCCATGTCATTCTACTTTGATCCATTCTCTCTAAATGACCAAACCACCTCAACAACCCCTCTTCAGCCCTCTGACTAATACTTTTAATAACTCCACACCTTCTCCTAATTTCCACACTCTAAATTTTCTGCATAATATTTACACCACACATTGCCCTTAGGCGGGACATATCCACTCCCTCTAACCGTCTCCTCGCTGCAGCATTTACAACTCAAGCTTCACACCCGTACAAGAGTGTTGGTACCACTATACTTTCATACATTCCCTTCTTGCCTCCATAGATAACGTTTTTTTGTCTCCACACATACCTTAATGCACCACTCACCTTTTTTCCCTTCATCAATTCTATGATTAACCTCATCCTTCATAAATCCATGCACTGACACGTCAACTCCCAAATATCTGAAAACATTCACTTCTTGCATACTCCTCCTCTCCAATTTGATTTCCAATTTTTCTTTATCTAAATCATTTGACACCCTCATCACCTTACTCTTTTGTATGTTCACTTTCAACTTTCTACCTTTACACACATTCCCAAACTCATCCACTAACCTTTGCAATTTTTCTTTAGAATCTCCCATAAGCACAGTATCATCAGCAAAATGTAACTATGTCAATTCCCATTTTGTATTTGATTCCCCATAATTTAATCCCACCCCTCTCCTGAACACCTTAGCATTTACTTCTTTTACAACCCCATCTATAAATATATTAAACAACTAAAGTGACATGGTGACCTTGTTTTTTTTTTTGTTTTTTTTTTTCAACAAGTCAGCCGTCTCCCACCGAGGCAGGGTGACCCAAAAAAGAAAGAAAATCCCCAAAAAGAAAATACTTTCATCATCATTCAACACTTTCACCACACTCGCACATTATCACTGTTTTTGCAGAGGTGCTCAGAATACAACAGTCTAGAAGCATACACTGTGCTAGTGCCTTGCTTAGATATTTTTAACCATATTACACGCTCAAAGAGAGCATTTGGTAATTTGAGGAAAGGAATTTCTGTTAATAATAATCAGAATGGTCTTTGGGACCCGATGAGCTGTTGGTGAGTGAGCAGGGTAATATTTTGTGAAGGGATTCAGAGAAACTGCTTAGCCAGACTTGAGTCCTGGAAATGGGAAGTACAATGCCTGCACTTTAAAAGTGGGGTTTGGGATATTGGCAGTTGAGAGGGACATCTAAACTGTCATATCTGAGTGCCTCTGCAAAGACAGTGATTACGTAAGAGTGATGGTGAAAGCGTTGAAAGATGATTATATTTTTTTTTCTTTCTTTTTGGGTCACCCTGCCTCAGTGGGAAACGGCCAACGTGTTAAAAAAAAAAATCAGAGAGATACATCTATGTCCATATAGATATCAACTGTAGGAATATTATGAAACAATATAACTCCAGTACATTAACTGATATATCGGATCATTATTTAGTTGTAGCTACAGTTAGAGTAAGAGGTAGATGGGAAAAGAGGAAGGTGGCAACAACAAGTAAGAGGGAGGTGAAAGTGTATAAACTAAGGGAGGAGGAAGTTCAGGGGAGATATAAGCGGCTGTTGGCAGAAAGGTGGGCTAGTGCAAAGATGAGTAGTGGGGGGGGGAGGGGTTGAAGAGGGTTGGAATAGTTTTAAAAATGCAGTATTAGAATGTGGGGCAGAAGTTTGTGGTTATAGGAGGGTGGGGGCAGGTGGAAAGAGGAGTGATTGGTGGAATGATGAAGTAAAGGGTGTGATAAAAGAGAAAAAGTTAGCTTATGAGAGGTTTTTACAAAGCAGAAGTGTTATAAGAAAAGCAGAGTATATGGAGAGTAAAAGAAAGGTAAAGAGAGTGGTGAGAAAGTGCAAAAGGAGAGCAGATGATAAAGTGGGAGAGGCACTGTCAAGAAATTTTAATGAAAATAAGAAAAAATTTTGGAGTGAGTTAAACAAGTTAAGAAAGCCTAGGGAAAGTATGGATTTGTCAGTTAAAAACAGAGTAGGGGAGTTAGTAGATGGGGAGAGGGAGGTATCAGGTAGATGGCGAGAATATTTTGAGGAACTTTTAAATGTTGAGGAATTAAGGGAGGCGGTAATTTCATGCACTGGTCAGGGAGGTATACCATCTTTTAGGAGTGAAGAAGAGCAGAATGTAAGTGTGGGGGAGGTACGCGAGGCATTACATAGAATGAAAGGGGGTAAAGCAGCTGAAGCTGATGGGATCATGACAGAAATGTTAAAAGCAGGGGGGGATATAGTGTTGGAGTGGTTGGTACTTTTGTTTAATAAATGTATGAAAGAGGGGAAGGTACCTAGGGATTGGCAGAGAGCATGTATAGTCCCTTTATATAAAGGGAAAGGGGACAAAAGAGATTGTAAAAATTATAGAGGAATAAGTTTACTGAGTATACCAGGAAAAGTGTACGGTAGGGTTATAATTGAAAGAATTAGAGGTAAGACAGAATGTAGGATTGCGGATGAGCAAGGAGGTTTCAGAGTGGGTAGGGGATGTGTAGATCAAGTGTTTACATTGAAGCATATATGTGAACAGTATTTAGATAAAGGTAGGGAAGTTTTTATTGCATTTATGGATTTAGAAAAGGCATATGATAGAGTGGATAGGGGAGCAATGTGGCAGTTGTTACAAGTGTATGGAATAGGTTGTAAGTTACTAAATGCTGTAAAGAGTTTTTATGAGGATAGTGAGGCTCAGGTTAGGGTGTGTAGAAGAGAGGGAGACTACTTCCCGGTAAAAGCAGGTCTTAGATAGGGATGTGTAATGTCACCATGGTTGTTTAACATATTTATAGATGGGGTTGTAAAAGAAGTAAATGCTAG